GTACCTACCATTAATGATACTTATTCCCTGTACTTCTCCCATTCCCCCCTCCCTGCTGATAGCCCTCCATGTAATCTCCATTTCTGTGATTCTGATCCTGTTCTACTTGTTTGCTTAGTTTGGTTTTTTTTTTAGGTTCAGTTTTTAATAATTGTGAGTTTGTTGTTATTTTACTGTTCATCTTTTTTATCTTCTTTTTCTTAGGTAAGTCCCTTTAACATTTCATATAATAAGGGCTCAGTGATGATGAACTCCTTGAACATGACCTTATCTGGGAAGCACTTTATCTGCCCTTCCATTCTAAATGATAGCTTTGCTGAATAGAGTAATCTTGGGTGGAGGTCCTTGCCTTTCATGACTTTGAATACTTCTCCCATTCAAAGTCCCTTCTTGCCTGCAGGGTTTCTTTGGAGAACTCAGCTGATATTCTTCTGGGAACTCCTTTGTAGGTAATTGTCTCCTTATCTCTTGCTGCTTCCAGGATTCTCTCCTTATTTTTCATCTTGGCTAATGTAATTATGATGTGCTTTGGTGTTCCTTGTTGGGTCCAACTTCTTTGGGACTCGCTGAGCTTCCTGAATTTCCTGGAAGTCTATTTCCTTTGCCAGATTGGAGAAGTTCTCCTTCATTATGTTTTCAAATAAGTTTTCAACTTCTTGCTGTCCCTCTTTTCTTTCTGGCACTCCTATGATTTGGATGTTGAAACAGTCAAGGTTGTCCTGGAGGTTGCTAAGCCTCTCCTCATTTTTTTTTGAATTCTTGTTTCATTATTCTGTTCTGGTTGAATGTTTATTTCTTCCTTCTGCTCCAAACCATTGATTTGAGTCCAGCTTTCTTTCTTGTCACTGTTGGTTCCCTGTACATTTTTCTTTATTTCACTTTTATAGTCTTCATTTTTTTCCTCTATTTTGTGACCATACTCAACCAATTCTGTGAGCATCCCGATTACCAGTGTTTTGATCTCTGCATCTGATAGGTTGGCTGTCTCTTCACTGCTTAGCTCTATTTTTTCTGGAGCTTTGATCTGTTCTTTCATTTGGGCCTTTTTTTTTTTTCTCGGCACACCTGTTACATAGTAAGGGGTGGAACCTTAGATATTCATGGGGGGGGGCAACCCAAGTCACTGTGTTGTGATGCTGTCAGTGGGGAATGGGTCCAAGAGGGAACATTTTCACTTGCTCAACTCTCTGCCAGCTTTCAGTCACTTCAGCTACATACAAGCAAACTGGGCCCTTCTGGTGCTGATTCCTGGGTGTGTGGTTTTGTGTACATTCTAGGACCCTGTGGGTCTCTTTAGTAAACTCTCCTGTGAGGCTGGGAGTTTCTCCTGCTGCCGCAACCCCCACAGGTTTTGACAGTCAGAGGTTCTGAGGCTTTATTTCCTCACCCTGAAACTCTGGATTCCATGGTCTGTCTGCTCCCCAGTTGTTTCTCTTGGTTTATCCGCACCTAAATGTGGGACCAGCAGCTACTGCCTTGCCGTGCATCCTCCTCTCCCCGGCTGCCCATCTCCACCCCTCCTACCAGCCTGGATGAATGTTTCTTCTTTAACTTCGTGGTTGTCGGACTTCCATACAGTTTGATTTTCTGTCACTTCTGGTGGTTTTTCTTTTTAAATTTGTTGTTGTCCTTCTTTTGGTTGTGCAAGGAGGCAAAGTGTATCTACCTACCCCTCCATCTTGACTAAAAGTGGCCCACCATGTCTTGTGTGGTGTTGTACCAGTGCTGATATAACAAAGCAAAGCAACACAGAAAACAAAACGTACACAAGAAAAAACACCCCCAACAAAAACAGCAAAATCAGTGGTAAAAGAGCAAGAACAATAAAAGTGGAAAGAGAAATAGAATATTATAAGAAAAAAAAAGAATATGATCAGACCAAAGGAAAGATAAATGATTGTGAGAAGATAAGGAGAGGAGAAACAATAAGAGTATGGAAAAGAAACAAGTAATCACCACAAACCCCCCCCCCCAAGACAGGGGAAAATTTTTGAAAAAATAAGGAAGGAAGAAGGCAAAATGGAGTAACAAAAGAGTAAGATACAATATTTGCAAGTACAAAGTAGAGCAAAATAAGAATAAAATTGAAGAAAAATGATATAGAGATATGCAAAAAAAATGAAGAAGAATGAAGTGGAATTCCTCTCAGCACAGCACTTGCCTGCTGGACTCTCCCTCTGGGTACAACTCTGACGTTGTGTAGAGTTGGTGCAACTCAGTGTCAAATGCTGCCCAGTCCAGCTGTAGGCAGCCTATTCAAAGCTATAATGATCCACAGTTTGTGGTTATCTCCTTCAGGCATGGCTGCGTCTGGGATGGGCCTTGCTGCTTTGTAAGTCTGGCTTTTTATCAGCACTGGGTCCAGGGATTGGTCAACTAACAACTGAAGGCACTGCTGGATCCATCTCCACCTGCTTCTGCCTTCAGTCCTGCCATTAGTCTTAGTCTAGCCACTGACCCATCTGTTTCTGAAAAGGCTTCTGGTGGAATCTGAAGGATGGGACCCCTGGATCTCCTGTGGGTGGTGCCATTCAGACTTCACAGAAGATGGTGAGTGTGTTCAGAGTCTGAGTTTGTCCCCGATTATTTCCATGAACTTGGCAGGGCAAAGCCCTTAGTAGGATAGTGAATAGGGCCTTCAGATCCCAGAGTTTGGGTCTGCTGGAAACCAGATGGTGTTCCTCTCTGATGAGGGGGAAGTGCCAGCCCAGTTCCAGGGGAAGTGTATGGAATGGCTATGCCCTAAAGCCAGTCTCTATCATCCCTGAGTCCTCCTGTGTTGCTCTTTCCTCAGCAAGGGATAAGATGCAGATTGGGGGAAAGTAAGAAAGAAATAAAAACTTAAAAATAAAAAATAAATGTAAAAAAAGAGGATGCTTGTGGGGCAGGCAGGATTCCAGTGGGTATAGCGGGACCGGTCAAGATGGCAGCATAGGCAGACATAGCTTGCCTATTCTCACAACCACATCAAAATTATAGTGGGTGTGGCAAGTAAGACTCCAGAGGATGGTGCCAGGAACCTTCTCAATGCTGCAGCAAGTGGTTTCCCACAGGGTGGAGTAATTGTTTTCCCCTGGGAGGAGATTGCTCTTCTCAAGAAAAATGGCTGCTGGGGTAAGGTGGTATATCCTGGCATGGGGAACCCAGCAGCCATTCCCGCATACCTCTCCCCAAAGCCTGCCACCCCAGACTCTCCTCATGTGACTCCACACTGTGCTACCCTCCCTTTGCCTGAGCCCAAGGTGAGTGGCTCAGAATGCAAAAACCTGTGAGTTCACCCTTTAGAACAAAAGAAAGAAAAAAAGAAAAAAGTGGCTGTCTCCAGTGGTTCCGTCTTTCTGTAGAGAGTAAAACAAAACAATACAAGCAAACAAAAACATGGCTTTTCACCACTGGATGCTGTCTAGGTGGGTGATCCCAACACTGGTGCTCCATGCTTGGGAGCCCAGTCTGAGGTCCAGGCTTCACTCCTCACTGGGGAAAGCTCCCACAGCTGTGCAGCTTGGCCAGCATCCATGAAAGTGGTGCTTGGCCCTTTCACATCCCTGCCCTTTCTACTGGTGGTTTCTGCCCCTCCTTGGTTAAGTATCTCCTCTTCAGGTAGTCGTCAGTTGTTTATTTCGGGTGGATGTTCCCCTCCTTATTTTCAGCTTGGTTCTGAAAGGTGGTGCGAGATAAAGTCTCCTACTCCACTGCCATGTTGCCACTAATCTATGCTGAATTTCTATTTATTTTCAAAATATAAAATATGCCACTAGGGGGCAGTGTCGACATATAGTTTTTCAAGCACATCTCCAATATAATTCCTTTAGAAGAAAATGAGTCATCTGTAATTGTGTTGACAACAAAAAATTTTTTTAAGTAAAAAAAGTAAGAATGATTTGATTTTACAATGTTTTGTGTGGCAATAAAGTTCCGAAAAGCATATCAAAGGGGCAAGCATCTTATACAGTAATACAACAGTAAATCAAATAAAAGTGTCTATCATCTATGAATGGAAGCATTCATATTGAATCTGATTTGAGGGTTAAAAATGATAAATAGCAATTTCGTAAAAAAAAAGTGTCATTTATCCTTTTCTAATTTCACCTCAGTCATATGCAGCCTCTGAGAGCTGTGCTGCTCTGGCCCCATTCCTGTGCATTGGGGGATGGAGGATAGATTGCTAGTTATCTTTGTAAGGAAGTTCTGGAAATTTCTTTTCCTTTTAAATTCTGCCTTCTCCTTTAAAACTCTAGCATACTTGTGAAGAAGGAAGTTAGTATTATTTTTTAATTGGTGGATAAACTGAGGTGTAGAGATTCCACATAGGACTTAGCAAATTATAGAATGAAAATTGAAATCTAATACAACCAAGATAGTCTCATTGCTATTATGTTTTTAGAAGAAATTATAATTTAAAAAAAGCTAATTAATCCGAGGATATTTAGAAAGCAACATGAACTCTTTCCTAATACATGAAGAATAGCTATGTTCAGTCTAATGGTCTTGCATCGTCAGGCTTGACCTCTCATGAGAGAGTAGATATTATCAGGTAAAAATATATTTCTCAATCTAGCAAACCTGGATAGTGTTGGGAGAACTTCTGTTTCTTTCAGCTACCAAAGTAACACATGGCTGTTGCTCCTCAGACTGACTTCCTGGAAGCATTTAGGTGGATTCAGTTTTGAGTAGAATGGAGAGGATCTGGATACCAGTCCCTTCCCATCCGCTCCCTATTGGTTGGTAAGTTTCTTAGTGGTAGAAATGGACCAGCGAATAGAGAACAGCTCTAGCACTCTGAGAGCAGGACTCTGGGCTGGGCTTTGGAGACTTACTAACAGGTCCCATATTATTGATCTAAGAATAAACTTCAAGAAGTGGGAAAGCCCCCATAGCTGAAGTGTCCCATAGCAGTGTTTTTCAAACTGTGACCCAAAATTCATTAATAGGTCATAAAATCATTTTGAAGGATCCCAACCAGCGTGTTTTATTACTAAAATAAGATGGAATACAAAATATCAAAATAGATCACACTTTTTATTTCAGTGGTTGCATAGTATGGTGCTTTACTGGGTCATTGTGTAAATTGTGTTTCTTGCTAAGGGTCACATTCAGAGGAGCTTGGAAGTCACTTCTCTGTATCACTTTATCTGTCCCTGTCTGGTTTCCGAGCCATTTGACAGTTGACATCTAATCCTCCTTAATAGCCTGCAGACTTCTTGAAATGGGATTAATGTCCCAATTACTTTTCCTTGGCCACAGCAATTTCCTTAATACCTTATTCATGGTGGGTGCTTAGCAAACCTGCTTAAGATTTACTTTGTATTTATTTTGCTTCTGAGGAAACTTTTAAAACATACTTTTAAAACTTTCAGGTCCCGTTTGTAATTCTATTTTGTTCAGTTCATACAGATTTTATGTGTAGGCTGGTTTTAATACAAGCATTGTTATTTTGACCATCTTTTCCTCATTTCTAAGGACTGTGGCCCAAGCATAAAGAATTCACAAAATTGGGTTCTACTGAGGTTAATACGCAGATTTGCATTTCTGTTTTTCAAAGAGCTCTTTCAGTTGCTGCTCACTGGTGGCTTCCTTCTGCTGCATCAGCTCCTTTGTTCCTTTGGTCACTCCCCAGGCATCGGGCTTTGACATCGAAGGGTTGTACGGCCTGCCTGATGCTATCCGAAGATTCTCCCAGTATTCCTTCCTCGCCCTGGGTGAGCAAGACATGCATTAGACTGCTCCCTGAGTGTCCATCCCTGTATCGCTCAACTGGGGTACTTCCATGGCACCATCTTTGCACTCTTGAGACTGTGTCCACTAAAACACATTGATTATTCCATACTAAAGCTTTTCCCCTCAGAATCTGTAGGTTTAAAATTTCTTTCAACTTCTTATTTTTAACATATGCTTAGGGATCAAAAGTTAAGAATTAGAATAGGGGCATTTTCTATATGGTGGACCCTACCTCCCCATCCCCACTTTCTGGCACTCTATGCATGAAACAGCTGAGCCCACACTTACTATTCTCCCCCAAACCATATCACTTCTGCACCTCTCACTCCATGGATTCTGCCTCCTTCTCCTTGCTTTCTCCACTGTCTCCTCTAGTTCAGGCCTCATCCCATCTGATATTCTAGCAAAGGCTTCCTCACAGGTTCCCCTGTCTCAAGGCTGTTAAACCTTGCTAACTCGCAAATCTTGTCCTGGACCACTTGTGACCCTCCAGGCTCATCGCTGCTTTGGGGATGAGTTCACACTCAGCTAGTGAGCATAAATAAAAAGGTTGTCTCCTCTTCTTGGCTTGTGTCTTCTATCAAATTCTGTCTCTGATATTCTTAAGCTTCTAGTTTCTCAATATGCCATTCCCCACTGGAATGTAAACTTTGAGGGCAAAGACCTTTCCTATCTTATTCACCACTCTCTTCCCAGCACCAAGAATTGTACTTGGCACAGAACAGGCACTTAATTATTATTGTTATCCTTAAGTTATACTGAAATCTTAAATAATCAATTCCTTCAGTGTTAGTGTCCATCACATGGGTAGTGCTTTCTCAGAGCATGAAATCATATTTCATTGCAACTTATGTTATTTACATTGTGTATTCCTAAAGCCTTCTCTAGAAATCACTCCGTAAGGTTGTTTTACAAACATCTCTGTGAGAGAACTTAAGGAGGATAATGGACTCTTTCCCATCACACAGCAAGTTAGCTGTAGTCTTTATAATGACCTGCCTTGGGCATATTCATAATCTGCATGAGTTCAGTTTGGCAAATAGAGTTTAAAGGTGCCTACCTGGCTCTAATCCATGGTTTGGTGTGCATGTCCAATCCACTTCCCCAGCTGCCATGCTTTTCTGAGGCCGGTGGCAAAAAGCCCCTTTCTGGGGCCAGCTCCTCTGCAATTGCCCTGATGTGGTAGGGCTCGAATCCACAGCACCCACCTATGTACCTGACCCCCAGGTTGTAGGCCTCTCTGGCGTATTTCTGAATATCCCACCTGGTTGTAACTCTGGGCTCCAGTCCTGCAATAAATGGCATTATGCTTAAGTTCTTTTTAAAGAAAATATTAAAAGTAGACAACTATAATTAAGTATATATCTTGAATAAGTGAGTTAAATAATTTTTCAATATTTAATTCTTAACTTTTTAAAGCTATTAGCTATTTTGTGTCTATATATCCAGTTTCAACTGTTGTGACAGCTGGCCTTTAACATGAACCCTGCCCTCTGACATTCTCATCCTTGTGCAGCCCTCTCCTGTGTTACATCAGGTTGGTCTGCAAGACCAATATAATATGGCAGAAGGGATGGTCCCTAAAGGAAACAGGATAAGGTATGAAGACCTTATAATGGAATAGGAGGCTCGCCATGCTCCGGCCCCACCGATATCTCTGGGCTTGATTTTCAAGGTAGACTCGCCCCCATTTCCAAAACATGCTAAAGGACTTTCCTCTCTGCCTGGTTACAGGCATGCCCTCACTTCATCTGCTCGGTCTCTTCATTCAGATTTGCCATACACTAATCCAGTGATGGTACCTTCTCTCCACCCTCAAACCCTGGACTATCTGAGCAACATTAAAAATAAGAGAAAAGGATCTTGGAAGTAACTGGTTCTAACTGTCTTATTTTTCTGATGAGAAAATTAAGATCCAGAGGAGCTAGGGAATTTTGCAAAGGTTACACAACTCAGCAACAGGGCTGGACCCAGAACAAAAATCTTTGCTGACCCCTCCCATGAGGGCATTCCTTTTACCAACCGACACGCATGGCTAGCTGGTTGTCTAGCTACGTGTTGATTCAACTTTGATTTTACATTTAAGTTCAGAGGTCTTTTTTGCTTGCTTGTCCCTTCTTTTCCTTCTATGACTGTCTAATGTCAAGGGATTTGTGGCTGCAGGGAGAACATCTGGGCCTAAAGAGATAGGAAGACATTTGTTTACTGTGATAAACTGGTGATAGATTTATTGGGAATTTGTCAAACATAAAGGCATTGAGACAGTGTATACAATAGAATGTTTGTCTTACCAAAAGGGAATTCTGGCAGGTCAATAAATCCCTGTTTGTTGCAGTCGGGAGTGTGGTAGGCCAAGGGCTGACTCATCAGGTGGGCTTTCAACCCAGCAGCCTGCAGGCCTTCTTTCATGAGCTTCACTGTTTGCAGACTGATTGTGGGGTCAAAATGGCAGTTCACACCAATGATGGAGGCTCCTGCAAGTGAGAAGAACATTTTAGCTTTAGGGATTTACGAGAATACTAGGAGGCCCAACTCTCCTCTCTTAATCAGGGAGCTTTTATTTGGAACAGTGAATTTGGAAAGTATAGCATTTGATCTTTACTCCCTGGAAATCTCTCTTACCTTTGGGTGAGAATGCTTGCTAACAGACAGCAAGTACTCTCTGTGACGAGTACTTTGAAGAGCCTGGTATAATTGAAGTGTCATTTATGCACACTTGGCTCTCCATCTTTTTTCAAAGAAATCATTATTAGAGGTTTTTAAACTTCAAATTTTAGTAGTCAATTTTTCGATCTTTGACATTATATCGCAAGTACAATAATTATTTAGCACTTCCAGCTGCTAGATTGCATCCGTGGTTGCCATACCACTCATTTGAGGGATAAATCAATGTTCCCTTTCATCAGGCCAATTTAATAATGTCACTAAATCCAGATTCCAGGAGCAGCATTGGTGACACCATAAGCTGTGGCACCCAGTGTTCAGTGACAGGCGTCTCAGTGGTCCTCACTGGGCTGGGTCTACAGTTTGCTCCTCATTCTTCTTCTAATCAGGCCTTCCTTCTGGTTATTCCTCTGAATTAGCTTTTGTAGAGACACCCGTGACCTCAGTCTTGCCAAATCCAGTAACTGCTTCCTGTTCTCATTTTACTCTGCCTCTCAGCAGCACTGGGTCTGTCGAACCCTTCCCTCCCTCATCAACACTCCCTTTCTCTTAACTTCTGAGAACTCTCATACTCCCTTAGTGTTGCTACTGCCCACCCCTCCCGAAGCCCGAACTTTTCAATCCTACAGTATCCCAGGATCCTACTGAGCCATCTTCTGCTCTTTGCCTACACCCTCTTTTCAATACCATCCATATCTAGAACTCTCCTAAATGTCTCTCTCTCACCTGATCTTACCATTAGGTTCCAGTCTTGTCTATTCAACCGCTTGGATCTTGATTACCTTTCTTTCTTTTTCTTTTTTTCCTTTGCACGTTCTCTGCCAGAGTTTTTCTTTCCTTGCTTGGCTTCATTACACTAATGAGTTAATCCTATGTTGGCTATTTATTGAATGTCCATTACATATGAGACCTTGTGTGGGGATGTCCAACCTGTGGCCCACGGGCCACGTGCAGCCCAGGATGGCTATGAGTGTGGCCCAACCAAAAATCATAAATTTAGTGAATGTTATGAGATTGTTTTGTGATTACATGTCACAATGTATTTAATGTGTGGCCCAAGACAACTCTTCATCCAGTGTGGCCCAGAGATCCCAAAAGGTTGGATACCCCTGCTGGGGTTCTAGAGAAATGTATAGTCCCTGACACCAAGGATTCCATAATTTAGCACAGGGCTTTCCAAGGTTTGTTCCATGAAAATAATGTTCTGTGATTAGTTAAGTTAGACAGTAGCTGTTTACCACATCTCCTTTCTGGACACTGCCAGTGTATCTGAATGTTTCAAAGGCTCTAAGAAGTTCTGCAGTAAAGAGACCTTCTTAACTTGGTTTAACACAGCATCTTCTAAATGTATTTGACAACAGAACCCTCTTAACATCGTCACAAATTTTAAAATGCTGACTGAGGATATTCCAAATGAGGGCTATAAACAGAAAGTGTTCTAGTTCCTAAGAGGATGGAGTGATCTGGGGGTAGGGGTCCTTATGTAAGGGTCCATGCAGGTAGAGTTTGAACTAATATTGGAACACAGACTTATTAGATGGATATTAGATGAATTTATTAGACAGATATTTATTAAGTGAACCTATTATGGCCTAGGGTACTCAATGCTGAGACAAACAGAGTCTCTGCCCTCTTCAACTTTAAAATCTAATGAGAGAGTCAGACATCAAAGAGATAAACGAATGAGATAATCAGGAACTGCTACAAAGGATACGAATGCAGTGCAGTATTTCAAACACCGAGCCTCCACCTGCTCCGAACAGAATTGCGAAGGAAGGAGGAGCTGTAGGCCAGGGATCCTTGCCCATCAACAGTGGTGATGACGAAGGCCTCCTCTGATCTTCTTAAAACAAGTGAACTTGCTTCTCCTCCCTTTTTTTATATTACCAATCAAAAATTAGAACTATCCAACTTCATTTCTAAATCTAAGTAACTGATATTGTCAATGACCAGTATGAAGTGACTTTCATGAAATATCAGGAGCTGGATAAAAATCAGGAATCAAACAAATAGCCAACTGAAATCTCTCTGTCCCACAAAGCCAGTTGGACTCTTTCACTGACACTGAGCTGTTAAAATGAGGCAGCGTTGAAAACAATCTGTGTTTTCCCTGATTGAAATGAAACCCAGTATTAGCGATGAAAATTACATAAAAAGATAAATTCGGTGATCAGTATTTCATATCAAAGGATTTTTAACTTTATCAAGTCAGTTATAAAAAGCAAAGCATACCAGTAATTTATGAGAATGGAAAAACTCTGGCAGAGGGCAACTGACTTAAAAGTTATTAATGTTTAAAGACCTCAACTTGAGATAAGTTTAAAATAAAACACAATTTTTCCAAATGCTCCTTAGTTACCAAAATTCTTCCCATCTCTAGTTGTTACACCTTCAGCATAGGTCTAATTACTCCTTTTAAAAGGCTGGTATGTGAGTGTATTAGTTTTTTCTTTTTAAACATTTTCCTTTATAGAACTCAATAATATCAACATTCCTAAAAAAGTAAATGAATGGTTTTCTGTTAATAAAAATAGTATCTAGTGCTTCACAGGTGGAACTGCATCTGTATGTTATTTTTTTTTACAACTTTTAATTAATTTTATTTAGTATGTATGTTATTTTAAAGACCCACTAATCGCAAACCGACCAAAGTCCACCATCACCTGCTTTCACCAGGCGCACTGCACACTGGCCAGGGCTTACACCGTGCAGATCTCCTTCGGGCCCGATGCACATGGTTGCTGCCACTGGCTTTCCAGATGTTTTCAAGGTTTCGACTGCCCACACTGCCTCTTCAACATGTTCAAAATACTGAAATAAGGAAAGGTTAAGGGACTTTTAATCTTGTTTGTCTAGACAGTTTGAAAACTTATTCTATTGCTTAATTAATTATCACTACATGTGTGATTTTCAAACTCTGAAATATTTTGAATATTGAGAATTTGAAATTGAAAAGCATTAGCATTTTTAATGGATTAGAATGGTGATTTTTTTACTGTGAATTGCAGTTAAAAGGTTTGAAGAACACTTTCTTAGATTAACTGAATCAAAGTTAGTAGAAGCCCAAAACTGGAAAAAGATTTCAAAGCTAAATATTACTATTACTAGTCATGATTGGCACCTAATCTCACATGGTCATCAGGAAAGCGAAAGGCAGAGAAAACGTGCAAAGTGTATTTCTCTCCTCTTTTATTGCTTGTTTACCTCTGCAATCAAGAAGTCCACGTTCTTCTTCAGAAAGACCTCTAACTGCTGCTGAAATACTTTTTTAACTTCAATCTCACTCTTGCAGCTGAGGTATGAAGGTGTCTGACTCACGCCTCCTGCCACCAAGGCGTCTCCCTCATCAGCCACTTGCCGGGCAATGTCACAAGCAGCTTCGTTGACTTTGTTCCCCTAAAGTCGTGAGTACATAATATGTCGACATTTCCATTTGACATTGAAACAAAATTATTATTCAAATGTCCACATCTTAGTTGTGATTTGACTCCAGAAAATGACAGTGATGGAATAGTTCAGTGCTTTCCCAAGTTGAGCGTTTTGCAGAGCGAAATACCAATAATACTGATGAAAAAAGAAATCTAATGATGGTATCTAGGATACTGCATTATACCAAAGACCTGTAAGAGGGTAAAAGTCTTTACATAAGAAGATCTGGTATCTTTCAGTGCCTAAGCTGCACATAGAAAAATTGTGGTGATAATGATGATAATTTGTCTTTATGACAAATAAAAATAAAGTTCAATTAAAATGACAACAAAATTTATGACTTTTTGTCTTTCTGTATTTTAGCAATGAACAGATAAATGTATCACAGGTAAGGTCTTTTCTAATTATTTAGACATTGACAATGGACGTGTCCTTAACCCCTCTGCTATAGGCCACACAGAGTCATGGGAGTTTTAAAACTTCCTTTTCATTGTAGAGATGAAGAACTTGCCACCTTGTTGGGGTAGGCCAATGGCTTGCCCAACTGTACCACACAGACAATTGTAGCTGAGTCAGGAAGATTCCAGGTTCACTGACTCCTTGTGCCTGTGACCTTTCTGTATATTGTGCCACATTAAAAACTGTGAGGGTGTAAGAATTTGTAAGGATACCCACTCAGCAACTTAGGAGACTGGGAGAATCATTAATCATTAAATGCCTCTTCTTTGATCTGCTTCACTAAATACCTTTCTGTCAACTTGGGGAAACTCCAGATAAAAATGTAGATACTATTCATATATATTTCATTGCTGTATTATTTAAAATAAGACAACGCTGTGAAGAGGCTCAACATTTTCTCTGTAAGAACTTTGGTGATGACATGTGTATCTACTATATCCTTCTAAGAGCGCCACGTGTAGTGTTACTCACGGATATTTTCTCTGCAACATAGTTCCCCCTGTTCTCCAGCTTGTCTTCACTCGCATAAAAGGTGAAGGTCTGCATGACATTCGATCCAGCTCTGAGGAACTCCCGGTGAAGCTGGCGAACTGGGAGATTGAATAAGAAAGGCATTAATTGTTATCAGTTTATTAACCCATGATGTTTCCAAAAAGCTCTAAGATAAGTAAACATGAAAATATCTGCTTAAATTCTTGGTTGTTTGGCATTTATGCATCCTGAGGGCTAATGAGAGGTGGAGCTGGGGAAAGGAGAGATTTCTACCATGGAGTGGATAAAAGAGGGAGGTCCCAGAAAGGAGGAATCGTGTCCACATCTTTGTCAGGTAGAGGAGGTAGGGAAAAGCATTCCCTACAGAGTGAACAGCCTGAGCAAAAACAGGCGTGGCTTTGAGGGGAAGGGTTGTTAGTCTGAGCAGCTGGAGTTGAGGATGTGTTGGGGCAGTGATGGAAGATGCAGTTGGAAAGGCGGCCTGGCAGGCAGAGTGCAAAGGGCATAGCATGCCATTCCAAGGAGTGTAGACTCCAGACGGTAAGTGTGGGGGCAAAACCAATAGTTTGTAAGCAATTGAGTGATGTGATTAGCTCGGTGTTTCTGAAAAATGAGTAGGATATGAATTGGAGCAAGATTCCCAAACATGTCCATGGATGAATGCCAAAATAGCAACCTTTCCCAGGTTAGAGGAAATATAATAGGATTTTTTTCCCATACAACCAAATACATTAAATTTAAAGAATTATTTATCCTCTGCTCTAAAATAGTTGCCCTAACCCCTGGTTGCCCACTAGATACCCTGTAAGCTTTTAAAATATTGCAGATGCTAGATAATTATGCTAGAATATTATCTAGCATAATTTTCCCATAATCCCATAGATATTCCAATTTAGTTGGTTTGGGCAGGGCATAGCCTTTTTTTTTTAAGGTCCCCTACTGATTCTTATTTTCAGCCTTGTTGGGAACCACCATTCTAAGAGGTTGGAAAAATGCTCATGTCATTTTGTAAAATGACAGTGATGCTTAGCTGGTGTTTGTTTTGTCAGGGGAATTAACTCGGCAAAGTAAGAATCAGCAATCCAGTATCAGCCCCTGATATTTATTTTGAAATTCAAGGGACCTGTGAAATCCGAAGGTCTGGAAGCAACTACAGTAGAAGCCAGGAAGTTTTTAGGACATGGAGTTCTTAAGCCCTCAGGGCTGAGGCTGGATGAGTCTGGCATCTTTGTATCCCAGGTGCTGAGTAGACCACAGAGAACATGGGGAGCTCAGTTTTTGTTTTTAAATGAACAAGTGAATGAGGCAAAAAACCTTTTGAATTTTAGAAAATGGGTTTCTAAGCTAGAAGCCAAATCTTCATTTTTAAATCGTGGAAACTTTAGTTCTCAGTGGGAATTTAAAAGGATGCCTAAGTTACAGGGCTTCCAACTTGTTTAATTAGCAACAGAACCAATGAAAAACACCTATATGGAGTCCCCATGTACAGGTCAGATGAGCTGCTGTGGCTGGAACAGGGGCGCAGGGCCTGTAGACCAGGGAGTGACATGGGTTATAAATAGGAAGTCCACCTGGGTTGTCCTTAGGTATATTTCCAGAGGCTCTGTGAAAAAATTTTAAAGTGGTACACAAATTGTTTGTGTGTATGTACATTCCTTGTTCTCTTTTAAAAAAATATATTTTATTGATTATGCCAGTACAGTTGTTCTATTTCCCCCCTTCATTCACCTCCACCCTGCACACTCCCTCCCCCACAGTTTCCCCCCTTTAGTTTATGACCACCTGTCTCAAGTTCTTTAGATTCTATATTTCCCCTACTATTCTTGCCCTCCCCCTATCTATTTTCTACCTACCATCTATGCTACTTATTCTCTGTACCTTCTCCCCCCCCCACTCCCCTGTTGCTAACCCTCCATGTGATCTTCATTTCTATGGTTTTGCTCCTGATCTAGCTGTCCTCTTAGTTTGCTTTTGTTTTAGGTGTGGTTCTTAATAACTGTAAGTTTGCTGTCCTTTCACTGTTCATCTTTTTTATCTTCTTTTTCTTAGGTAAGTCCCTTTAACATTTCATATAATAAGGGCTTGGTGATGATGAACTCCTTGAATTTAATCTTATCTGAGAAGCATTTTATCTATTCTTCCATTCTAAATGAAAGCTTTGCTGGATAGATCAATCTTGGATGTAGGTCCTTGCCTTTCATGACTTGTAATACTTCTTTCCAGCTCCTTCTTGCCTGTAAGGTCTCTTTTGAGAAATCCGCTGACAGTCTGATGGGAACTCCTTTGTAGGTGAATGTCCCCTTATAGATATAAGGGAACATTCTAGGATTCTCTAGGATTCTCTGCTTCTAGGATTCTCTCCTTCATTTTAATCTTGGCTAATATAATTATGATGTGCCTTGGAGTGTTCCTTCTTGGGTCCAAATTCTTTGGGACTCTCTGAGCTTCCTGGATTACCTGGAAGTCTATTTCCTTTGCCAGATTGGGGAAATTCTCTATTATTTGTTCAAATAAGTTTTCCACTCATTGGGTGTTCCTCTTCCCCTTCTGGTACCCCTATAATTCGGATGTTGGAACGTTTAAAGATGTCCTGAAGGTTCCTAAGCCTCTCCTCATTTTTTGAATTCTTGTTTCTTCATATTTTTCTGTTTGGTCATTTTTTCCCTCTTTCTTGTCCACTCTTTTGATTTGAGTCCCAGTTTCCTTTCTATCACTATTGGTTTCCTGTGCATTTCCCTTCATTTCAATTAGTTTAGCCTTCATATGTTCCTCTAACTTGTGACTAAAATCAACCAGTTCTGTGAGCATCCTAATCACCAGTGTTTTGAACTATGCATCTGAAAGTTTGGCTATTTCTTCATCACTTAGATTTATCGGCTCTGGGGCTCTGAGTTGTTCTTGAGCCATGTTTTGATCTGTTTGTACCTATTACGTATGAGGAGCGGAGCCTTAGGTGTTCACCAGGGTGGGGCCACCCAGGTCGCTGGTTTGTGATGCTGTGTGTGGGGGCGGGGTCAGAGAGGGACAATGATGGTCTCTTCTGCTGCTTCCTGGCACTGGGGCCTTCACGGTCTGTCTCACCACTTGCTCCTTCACTGGTTTATCTACGCACAAATGTGTGACTGTGGTCAACCCTCAGTGAGTCCACTGCCTTGTGCCCTCAGTGGGTCTGCCCACTTCTCCACACCTGGGATCCACCCACGACTGCTGGCGCACCTGGGTTGTGCGCCCGGGTCAGTCCAGTGGATCTTTCCTGCCTGACCCCGCTCTGCTGCTGGCTCTGCTCCTCTTACCAGTTTGGCTGAAGTGTTTGTTGTTGTCAGACTTTCGTATGGTTCAATTTTCTGTGGTTTGGCTGCATTTTTGTTGCTAAAACTTTGTTGTTTTTAAACTTGGTTGTGTGAGAAGACCCAGTGCTTCCACCTACGCCCATTCCTTGTTCTTAAGTGATTTATTCCACCATGCTTCTTAAAACTGCAGTGCTTCTCAAAATGTGACCTAACTTAGACTCACCTGGGGTCAATTGTTGTGAATGCAAATGTCCCAGACCCTCCAGCCCCAGCAAACCCACACTCCTTGCCAAATTCCATTCTGATTCCACTGGGTACAAGAACCACAACTTTTGGCATAAACTTCAGTAGGAGAATTAGTCTGGTAATTTCTGAGTATTCTTTCAATTTCTATTTTCTGTTTTCTCTCATCTTAAGACTCCTGAGTCTTCATCCTCTAACCAATAATAGGGTATGGCTGGTCTCAATGACAAGGACAAAACCTACACTAATTAATCACATTCGTGATATGGCTTTAACCTTCTTATTATATTAGTCTTATTTTAGCATCATAGAAGCAAACCCAGTCTCTTGACTAAGATGTTGAGTTGGTTTCCTTAAAAATTCTTACATTCTTACTGTTTTTAAATGTAGCACTGTGCAGGGGAAAGGTAATAGGCACAAAAGGTCAGTGAACCTGGAATCTTCCTGACTCTGCTAGAATCAAATGTGTGATGTTGAGCAAGCTATTTATTTACCTACCCCAACAAGGTGGCAATTTCTTCATCTCTCCAATGAAAAGGGAGTTTCAAAATCCCATGAGTCTGTGTGACCTACAGCACTAGGGTTTCTTAAGGACAACCATCCATTTTTAATTTCTAAATAATTAGGAAAAAACTTTAGTTGTGATACATTTATCTGTTAATTGAAAAAATACAGAAAGACATGAATTTTGTGGTTATTTGTTGGGAACTGCCCTGCTTGGTTTCAGGAGCTGTAAACCCCCCATAGATAACGCTGAGTGAGCTACCTTCGAACTGTGAGCCACTAAGGAGACAAAGCTTATCTCCCTGGCAGCAGCGCTGCTTCTGCTTCATTTATCTCTGGCCCCCAATGCTTGGTCGGTTAGTAAATGACGGGCAAGACCCCTCAGAGGGGGGGCAACCTAAGCCAGACATGATCACTTGGGAGGCCCTCAAGGAAGGACTCAGGGGGCTACAGCAAAGAGGGGGTGATGGACCCTCCCGCCGCCCCCCTACCCCACCACTTTGATGAACCCTCAGTCCTCAGTCTGTCTGAGAGAAGTGTCCGAGAATTCCTTGGCTATCTGCCTCCTCTGCCTGACTTAAGCCTGAAACAATGACAGAGGGTGGTGTGGCCCTGTGCTGGGAATGGTGGACTCCCCAGATGATCAGGCCTGAGAAAGGATGTGTAAAATCTTGTGAAGCCTGCTTTGCTAAGAATGCTCTTAGTTAAGTGATAAAGGCCTGGGCAGAAAATGAGTTTGTTTCCCAAAGTTTAGTAGCCTTTCAGCTGATAGACCCTGACTCAGAAGAAGCCCTAACAATTCTTTGTATGCTATCTACTATTTACTGCCTGACAGTGATTAATAAGTTGTACCTGAACTCCTGCGCAAAAAAACAAAAAAAAAAACAATAAAAGCTTGTCTAGGCAAGGGTTGGGGCACTCTCACCTTGAGACAGTTGCCAGGCCTCTCCGAGGTGCCCCCCCTTGAGGGAGTAGCCGTGCCGTCCCTTTTCCTCCACAGGACTGGGTAGTCCCTGTGAATTTGTCTCATGTCTCATCCAGGACAACACTGGTACAGAGAGCCAGTGCACCCGTCAGTCATTTAGTTGAATTTTGTTCTTATTATATTAATCATAACGGCAAATCACCATCATCATCACCACTATTTGCTAGGTAGTCTTCAAGCTGCCTCACGGTGGCCGATGTGTTTAGCATTTTGAGGAAATGAAAGATGTCTAAAGAATTCATGCTCTGACAGAATGGTGAATGGTTTTTATGTTAGCTTATGCAAACGAATTTGTGTAGCTGCAGGTGCTTTTCGAAGTTAGGCTGGGTGACAGCTGGTCCCGAGATAAACTCTGAAAGCTTCCCGGCAGCTGGACTGCACCCAAAATATTTCTGTGGGACTGGTGCCTGGGCTCGACTTCCTAGTGCGGGGAGCAGTGAGACAGGGAAGGTGCTGCTACCAGTCTAATCCCTTATCCAAGCCATTTGGGGACCAAGTGTGTCTAGGGATCCAGAATTTGGGGAATTTTAGAAAGTAAATACAGTATATATGCTATATATTATCTAATATTCTCATTAGGGCTTGAAGCAGTAGCCCCCTGCCCCCAGTTAAATATATTAATACTTTTGTTTTGAGAAATTATATGACTAACCACACTAAATCATTAGTCACACAATTACAAATATCCCACAATAGTTCCGGTCACATTTGCCCCCACATGATTTTGCTGCAGGTTTGGTATCCCACTGAAGAAATGCTGCAAAATTTTATTTGACCTTTTAGACTTCACCGTGGAATTACAAAGACTTGCATTTCTCAAGTAAAGTTACAAGGGTCAAACTATCCTCTGTATGTATATAACTGGGAGATATTATCCATATGCTTATACTCTCCCTCATTCCATCCCAACTCCCCTCCTGCCCATAAACAATTTGTGGTCAAAAAAGTAAAATGAGAGTAAGTTGCGTGGGTACAGGTACAGGACAGGTAGACAGTTGAATTTAAGTTGAGTGGGGTAGTATACAACATGTTTAACTGGTTGGCACATGTACAATGAGGAGGGCCTATCTGTGAGATCGTGACTAATAACTGTACCATTTAACTTAGAGTGAGTAAGTAGGCAAGGTGGGCACATGCAGGAGAATGGATAATAAACAGCAAAGTAGAAGGAAGAACTGAGAGTCTGGATAAGGTCGAGGAGTGGCAGCGTTAGGGAAAGTGAGCAGAAAAGGTGGGAGGTGGTGGTCAGAGAGTGAGTCCTGGTGACTGTGATTTCAGAGGCGGACAGCTATTGATGATGGTGAGGTCTCGGAGTGGGCGGCTGAGGGGGGCTGTGGAGGAGCACTGCAGCTGGAGCTGAGGGGGAGATCAAGGCATCAACAGGAAGACTGCCAGATGGATCATCTGTGTGGACACCAAAGTCACCTAGAAAGGTGAGGGAGGGAGGGACAGAGGGGAAGGCAGTGAGCAAGGTACTAGACTCATCTAGAGTGAGGGTCAGGGACCAAGAGGTAAATGTAGGTGACAGCAACAGGGAGGGCTGTCCAGCATGCTTATCCAACATGTGAATCCGCATTTGCACAACTAGTACAGTACCCAGCAGGCATTAATACATATTTGGAAAATGTGGCATGAATGTATCTGTTTGATGGTGTGCACCTAGACTTGGGTCAGTTTGAAGTTCTCTTTTATGAGCAAGGCACCAACCTGCTTCTGGGTGCTCCACCACAGCTTCGGGGGTCCAGGGGCCGGCCTTCACATAGCCCCTCTTCTCCAACGCGAAGACAAACCCTCCATCCCCAATCACAACCTCTCCAGAATTTAAACGTTCTAGGATGCCCTGAAATTACAGATGGAGGGGGTGAGGGGAAGAAAAGGAGTTACCTGAAATTCGTAGACAATTTTCTATCTTTAGTACTTTTGCTATTATATTCTTGAGAAGTATGACTTCTTTAGAGTTCTCAGAAATTACATGTATATTTTATATTCACAGTACTATCTGTGAGGTCAACAGCTTGCATGCTCCTATAATGAAAATTTGTATATACGTGTACTGGTCTCTTAGGACACATTACAGAGTTTTAAAGCATGTGGTGAAACAGTGTGACATGTGAAGATATACCTGCTGAAGGATTAAATGAAAAGGTTGTATTTTCTAAAAGATTCTATGTATCTATTTTTTTAAAGAGAGGGAGAAAAAGAGACAGAGAAACATCAATGTGTGAAAGAAACATTGACTGGTTGCCTCTCTAATGTCCCCAACTGGGACCTGGCCCACAACCCAGGCATGTGCCCTGACTAAGAATTGAACCAGTGACCTTTCAGTTTGTAGGCCAATGCTCAATCCACTGAGCCACACCATCCAGGAATAAATGAAAAGGTTTTATTGTAAATCCTCAAATGAATACTTAGCCATACATTCAAAGAGATGATAAAAATTGATAAAGAAGTTGGAGTGGCATTAATACTGTGTAGGCATTTTGAAGACTGAAAAGTCAGAAAATACTTGGTAAAAACAGGAGGAAGAAGATACTGCCTTAAAGGTGGTCACAAAATCTTCACGCATAAAAGTCCATGAGATAAACAACTACAACAATAAAGAATTGATCATATGTACTTTCGAATATAAATGTCATCATTTCAATGTGCCTAAATGCCACATCTTAACACCACAACTTTGATTATGACCTAATTAGCAAGAAATTATATAATGTGTACATATATATATATACACATATATATAGTCATTGTAGTTCTATCAGAAGCAAAAACAAGAATCAAATATAATGAGATATGACCTGCTGCTACCTTTCATTTGTCTGAAATAGCTCATGGTATTTTTGTTCAGTCACTTAGCAACTCTCACTGGACACGTGTGTTTTCAAACCCTAATACCACACACATTTAAATACACAGCATAGCTAAGAATCTGATATTTATTGGTGGAGTGGTTAGCAGTGATTCCACTACCATGTTGTCCATACACCGGTTGAACAATTATATCAGGAAGAACAACTTCTTATATTCTAGTGCATTTGTAAATTACCTGGACTTCAGACTTTTCTGTTACTAAGCTAAACAGCTTTTTAAAAAAAGTTGAATGTGCTAAGAAAAAAAATGCTCAAGATACCGTTTTGTGAAAAAGTATTACCAAACAGTATGTGTAATATCAGAGCATTTTTGCATAAAAAGTACACATTTGCTAGACAACAAGCTAGCAGAACACAGGCTAAAATGCAGCAGATGGCACTCACAAGTCTTTTCCAAGCTGTGTACAATGAACATGTGCTAGCTTTGTGACATATACTTTTAAACTCAAGAGTATAAACATTATAGTCCATGTTTTAACACTGACACATGCACGGAAACAAAGTTACTGAAGAAACATTTTTTTCCCACTTTATGTTCATCTTTTGCTTATAAAATCCTTTAAAATGTTTCATTTTCTGATTTTGAGTTTGAGGAGTGGTTTAGAATTTTTGGCTATGTGAATGGGTTTGTAAAAAAATTTTTTTAATTTCTGTGGGAATTATTCTTTCCATTTTACATCAACTATTCATTTAGAAGATTGGCAAAGAAGGTCAACCTAATTGAACTGTTGATAGCCTATAATCATTTGCCACCTCAACATCTTCCTCAACTGTTGACGTATGTGTCTATTAATGCTGCGTGACATTTAAATTTTTTAACTGGATTGACTTTTTTTGTGTGTGTGGAGGTGTTTGTGATTTGGAAGGGATGTCTGGCAATGAGGATGAGAGGCGGACCCGCCCTCAAGGTCCAAGGGGGGAGGGGGAATCTTTGGCCTGGCCAGGTCTGCCTTCGTGCCATCCCCTGGGGGCCTCTGTCCACCAGGCCTCGGGCTGGGTGCTTGGACACCTGAGGGTCAAGCATATTCCCTCCTCCCTGCATCCATCTCTTCCCATCCATCCAATCCCCAAAGTCCACAAAGGCCGTCAGTCTGGACTGGAACACTCGTCCCAACCAGTGTGTCTTTGGGGAGATACTCGCTTGTTGCTAAACAGGTGCTGGAGCTGATATTTTCTTAATTCTATTAACAGCCTGTCCTCGATATCTTATGGCCTCTGTGCCCGTTTTCGAGGCTAGCATAGTGCATTTTATAGCCATCGCTGAAACCAAACTATGGGAGAAAAACATACCATTGCCCAACCAAACTCCAGTGCGCAGCTGCGCGCAAATCCTGCGCTGGGAAGCGCCTGAAGACCCCAAGGCAGAGGCCAGGAGGTGCGTGTTGGAAACGGTCAGAGCCCACGCCCGTGCCTCTCTGCGGGGCTGCAGCAAGGGCAGATACACAGGAACCCACGCCACAAGGCGCCCCCTTGTCCAGCCGCTGTGGGGGAGGGAAGTCCCGCCTGTGAGTCCAGGAGCTGCACTTCCGGAGGAGTGCTCTGATGTCGGCGTGTCGGACTCAGAAAATGTTGCGAGTCTCAGCGCCCTCCGGTCCCTGGGCACAGAGATCTCAGGAGTGCTTTGGTCAGGGGTACGAATGTGGGCTCAGAGGTGCCTTGGGGTCCTGCAGGAGAAGTCGTGGGAGCACCTTCCTGTCACACCCAGGCTCCATGGACGCCTCTGCACTCCCCGGGGGTTGGGGGTTGGTGGATCCATAGACAGATCCTTGGCCGAGATGGAGAGCGCCCTCAGGTTCCCCAAAGACTCACCTTCTTGGCCTTTTTGCCCCCAACGGGTGCCATCTTCGTGGTGTCTGGAATGGAATTCCTCAGGGATGCCCACCTGCGATGCCTACAAGTCCCAGAGCTGTACCACGTAGCAGCCGGGCTCTTTATAACTCTCGAATGTGGGGTGGTTTCCCTACACCCCCCCCCTCCCCCTTGGTCCTGCTGCCGGCCTTGGGCGGGAACACGCCCACCAGCCTTTTATTGAGGCCTGCCTCTTCTTGGGAACCTGCCCCAGAGAGCAGATGATCAGAAGGGAAGACTGAGATTGTTCTCCTAAATGGGTGAAAACAGCGAGAAGTAAAATGAGGAAAAAAAAAGTGAGTTCGCCACTCACTCAGGTTTCAAACCTGGAAACCTGCCTGCTCACAGTCCCTCTTTGCCCCGCCCGTGGCTGATTCTGATTTACTTCTCCCTTGCTCGGGATCATGCACCATTACCTACTTGTCAAGGTCCCTGCGAATTTCGCGCATACCCAAATATTTGTCAAAGGCCGTGGGACAAGACTATTGGGTGAGGAGGCCATGCCCTGAAAGTCAGCCCGAAGTGCCATCTCTGTGATAAACATCCAGCGGTTACAGAACATGACGAACTCAGATAGTGGCGTTTACGGAAGGGATCCATACTAACCCTGCATTAGTGGGTGTGTGTAAAATGACCTTCTCCCCTTATAGCTGAACTTACAGCCTTGCAGCTCTAATGTAGGCATTTTTAATAAAAATATTTTTGCAATATTTAACCAGGGCAGACTTGTAACATTTATACACGTCAGTAGAAATGTACTTTAGCAACTTCAAAATTCACAGAAAATACTATGTATAAAAACACAGATGGGAAGGAAATAGAAGTGTTAACAGTAGTTACCCTCTGATGGTCGAATTGAGGTTTGCTTTTAATTTATTGGTTGATTTTACTGTATTTTTCAAAACATCTTTACAATGAGAAGACATTGGTTTTAAAATCATCAAAGCATTATTTAAAAAATGTATGACAGTATCATAAGTAGCCTAGAGAACAACCAAAGTGCAGACTCTTTTGCCCAAAATAAAAGCACAGGAGGAAGTTTGCATGTGGACAGTCTTCATTTCAACGCAAAGAAGAACATTACTATAGCAAACGATGAATTGATACACATTTAATTTTTTAAATAATGTACACTTGGTATATAACTGAGAAAAGTCCTTTTGCTTCTGAGAATTGTCAAGTTGAAAATGAAAAAATGGAAGGATGATGGATGAATATATGTATTTCAAATAACCTAATATTGCACCTGCCTAGGAAGAATGATGAACACAGTGATGCCAGCCTTCACAGTAACTAGATTTCCCACTATTCAAGCACAGGAGTACCCAAGCAGGTGGAATCCAGCCCTGGCTGCAGGGAGCAGCTGCAGTGGTGGGTACCAGGCACTAGGGGCGCCGTATCAGGACTCTGGCAGTGAAAGCTGAAAGCACACATTCTCAATTTCACACTTCATCCAAACTCAGCAAACTTAGAAGAGATTTTAAACTAGCAGCATTTAATTTAAAAATAAATTGTGAATTTTTAATAGAAGATGTAGACACACAACACAATTTTTAAGTCTTTTCCCAGCTGCTGTCCCCAGTGTAAGTCCTCCCAGAAGGCAACCACTATTACCCATGCACTATTCTTCCAGAGTAACTACGTATGTCTAAGTGTGCACATGCATAGATAAGGATATGTATTTAAATGTAGAGGATTTTAGTTATTTAAACACATATGTACCGCCACATTTTCCAAAATGATTTTATAGGCAGCTATTGAAATATTTTTGTTTTTCCCCAGCCTCTGAGTTTATCCTACTTCCCCATACCCACCCCCCAGTGAAGGCCACTTAAAAAAATTCACCTACTATTTCCATAATAAATAATAATATCCACAGCACTGAGTTCACAGTTCACTTACTGTGTGCAGGGCACTACATTAAGCCTTTTGCCTACAGTATTATTTACTCTTAACAACTCTGGGAGGTAGGCACCCCCTCTTTGTACTCAGAGTTAGGAGAGTTGCCAGTGTGAGCTCTGAAGTTCCTCTGCCCCATTCCCAAAGGGCCAAGTCCACTTGGATACCACTGGGGAGTGAGTCCTGTTGTAATTGTTCTTGGGAGGCTGCCCATGTTCTCTGTTCTAGAGCAATGAGACGAGGAAGGTCATACACTGAAGTCTTTGGCCTCCTACCAAAATGTTTGGGGTGAGAGGTAAATTCTGAACGGAAAGAGGAGGCTTACAGCTGGAGATCAACCCCCTAAGTTTTATAACCTGAAAAGCAGGGTCTTTCACTAGTGCTTTGCTTTACTTATAACCTCATTTATTCACTCAACAAACACTGAGGAACCATTCATACAATGTTTCCAACACCGTGCTCATTGCTGGAGGTAAAGAATAGCTCCTCCTTCTTTCCAAGGGGGAGATGTACACCATCTCATAAAAGAGCTAAAATGTGCTTCTTTTCAATATGTAGATGGAGAAAATATCAGGACTTTTCATTTTCCATTCCATTGGAGGAAGTGTCTTTAAAAATGAATGTGCCTTTTCATAGATCTCTTTAGATTAAAAATGTTTCCTTTAACCTTTAAACCATGGAAAAGGGTTTATGTTTTAGCGCCATGTAAAACAGCATTTGCAAACTATTGACATGGAAGTGGGGCCAGCCTCAGGGTTTTCTTTGGCAAGACCAGTGTTTTTTGAAAAATTGCATGTGAATTCCTTTAAGTAGAGCCATCCAGTCTGCCAGCCTGACCGCATCCAGTTGTTTTACACTCTCCTGGTTCACATATTTACCTTAAGCTAAAGGCATTTGATTTTTCAACTTTTGCAAATGTACTGGGGGGTTATCAAATACATATGAAATGTCCTTTGGTCTGAGTTCTACCAGATAGCCCCCAAACTGAAGGTTTTACTTTCTTTGTTTTCCTCTAGCCCTAACCCCAGTTGCCACTGCTCAGGATCATCATAAATGGGTCGAGAGGGCGGGCTTTTCATCTAAAATCCTCTTCTCTGGGTGCACAGCCTCTGCTCACTTTATTCCCTCTGTCCATTGCAATGGCCACACTCAACATGCAACCCAACACACCAGGCATATCACACCACTTTACACAATCGCTCCCTATTCAGTGCCTTGGTTTCTTCATATGTGAAACTCAAGTTGAAGCTAAGTAACTTTCCAGATTTTCCTCCCTCCCTCCCTCGCTTTCTCCCTCCCACCCTTCCTTCCTTCCTTCCTTCCTTCCTTCCTTCTGCTATTGGCTTCACATAAACTTGGCTTGACATAAATTAGAACATAATAGAAAGAGTCTTTTCCCAGGGCGCTTTCTTTGCCTTCCCCTCATGGTCAGCAAGTGCTTCCTTAGGCTGACTCAGAGGGCACCTCTGTGTGCCTACAACTTCCGTCCATTCCTAATTTCTCCTGGAGCAAAAAACTCTTTTTTGTTTGTTTGCTTGCTTGCTTGTTTGTTTCTGGACCATTCAGAGCTTCCTTCTGCCCCAGGTAAAATTGCTTTTCTCGAAGCTGGCAGATTTACCAGCTTGTACAGAGTCTCATGGATGCCACAGGAGAGCCCTCCGGCCATATTCCAGTGAGTTCTGGCACCCCGCTATCTTAAACTGCCCTCTCAGCTTGACAGTAGCACCCAAGTTCTTTTCCTCACTCTGGAAATTACTTTCTTCTCCTCCTCCTTGCCTGTCATGTTTTCTGTCCGCACAAGTAGCCTGTCATCTGCCACCATGTGTCTTTCTGCTTCTTTTCTTTAAAAAAAAAATTAAAAAACCCATATAACTCTTAACTTCAGAGCACTTACCACGTGGAGTTAGCTGTGCTAATGGATTCGTAGACATTATGTAACCTTCACAAACAAACCTAGGATGTGGGGACTTTACCATCCCTCTTTCACTGATGACAACACTGAGGCACATATTAAATGGAAACTTTCCCAAGATCGTGTCAACATTGAGCTAGGAGGGTGACTTCAGCCCAGGCAGAAAGAAGCCAGAAATCATACTCTTCAGAGCTACTCTATACTTTCTCTTCAGTAAACTGATTTTCTAAAAACTCTGCCCCAACTCGTTGTAACCTCACTCAACATAGCCCCTCCCCCCTGCCCCACTCACCTGGCCCATTAGAGAGGTCCCTTATCCTGGTCAGGGCTAGTTCAGATTCAGTGACGACCAGTTACTGACAGAAACAGCCTGGCCTGCCATGGGCATTACTCGCAAATGTACCATGACTTTTGAATTGTGTGTGACCCCTGGCTTGTCCAGTCACTTTGAAATGTTGTTGTTTTAAAGGGATATCAGAAAAGAAAAGCCATAATTTCCTGGGATTGCCAATCAAACCTTGGTCTTCCTCATCTTTGTGAGCTGCTGAACTAAGGCATATATTGATTATTTAACTGGAAAAGGTGCAGTCGAGAGTAAAGATTCCCTTTTTCCCATGGGGCCACCACATGATACCCACATGGTCTATCAGTTTTGGCATGTGGCTCCTGATCTGGGAGTTAGATCCCAGGAACAATCCGTGTCCCAGCCTAGAGTCTGCAGGGGAAAGCACACCAGGTTGATGGGTGCGTGGCGTGAGAAGCAAAAAACGTACGTGGAGAGATGGGTACGTGGAGGAAAGCTCTCCACTGGGCCACCATGGTGGTAGGTCTGGCCCGGGTGGAGGGAGATGTGTGGTTTAGCCCAGGCGAGGTCAGACCCGAGCACTGTGCTGAGGAGCTTACATTTAATGGGAAACTCACTACTAGGCAGGAACCAGAGTCCTCCTCCCCACCTTTTTTTCCTCATGAAAAACTTGGTATTTTCTCTTTTTTGTTTCCTATCGGTCTGCACATAACTGTTGTACCGGTCAGCTGCATCTGCAGGGGATTTAGTGAGGGCTTTTAGCTTGGTGATTATAGAAGTCTTTGTTCATGTAAAGCATTTCTTTGGGGTAGGCTGGTGTGTGACTTTAGTCTATTAAAGATTATCACCAGTACACAGCCCTCAGTTGGCTTACAGAAGTAATAACACGTTTCTAAGTAGCAAAATCAGCATTGCTCACCATCTTCTGAATCTCAGGAAAATAGGAATATATATATTTAAGTTAATACATGCATATAGGATTCTTAAAGAGTAAAAAAGGAGATATACTAAAAATACAAAGTTTTCCCTAACTTCTACTTCCTCAGTTTTAAGCTTTTTTGGTCTTTATAACCTCCTCAGCATAAAGAATTTCTGAAAGAAGTCGGTACTTACAGAAACCAGCTTCCAGTGATAACATTACACATGCACTGGAAGAGCGAAAATGAAAAACCTGAAATGTTGGGGAGAGTGGGGAGCAACTGAAACTCTTGATGCTACTGGTAGGAGTGTAAATTGGTGTAACTGTTTAG